AAGAAGCTATTAGTAACAAGTGCATCGCTTCTAGTAACAAGTGCCTTGCTAGTACTGTTAGCCTTCGACGTCGTGAAAGAACTGGCCTAGTCGCCTTCGATGCACGGTTTCCCCACTGTCTACAGGTTCTGTCGAGTGAAACAGCTGCCGAGCTGGCCGGCCATCGCTTTGGCGATGGTGCAGCCAGAAACTCAATCTGGGTCAAAAATGAAAAAGAGGCGATGTGGTCAACTTCAAACATTGGGTTTAGAAGATGGTCCCTGCCTTAGACCCCCCTGGAATATCCTGGAATAACTAATATCCTGGTAGAGGCCATTTTAGAATGTTCGTCTCCTACATCCCCATCCACTCCAATTCCATGCGCTCCGACTCTCGGACCACGTCGCCCGGATCGATGACCGCTGTTGATCGGCAGCGAGGCTTGAGGCAAGCCGATTGGATTTTGTTCATTCAAACCAAGCAACTTGCTGCAAGGCAACCAGTGACTTAGTGAGGCTTGGTGAGGCGTTTGACCAAATCTTGGACCCAAACGAGTCCCACGAGTCTCTGCGTTGCCTCAAGCACTTCAACGAAACCTGCGCACTCTGAGCGTATGCGTTGACGCTACGTAGGCCTTGTGCGGACAGTCAGTGGAAGACATGGCACCGTCCTCGCACAGACTTCTAGTGAAACGCTATCTCTCATGCCTTGGAGCAGCTCTCATATGTTGGGATCATGTACTTGATGTTGATGAATGCATCTTCACCTGCGTTTCATGGCGTTACCAATCAGAGATAGGAAGTCAAGTTCACACGTCGCTATCATCAACTGAGTCCATTCTGTGCGCGCATGTGCACGACCAGCAACCGCAGACTCTCAGCATGAACCTGTGCACAAGAACCTGATCTGTAGAACCTCTAGTTAGCATCCTTTGTTCATCACTGGCATCACTAGAACCATCGTGCAACACGTGCGTCTCATCATTTGGACAGCGGCGCTTGTTGAGACCTCCCCGGCCTCCATGGGCTTCCATAATTTCCAAGGTCTCATGGATCAACTCACCCAAGTTGAGGCGCTTCCGCTGCGCATAGTCGATCAAGTGTCCCAAGTTCTTGTTCTTTTCAATGTAGAGGCTGAAAGTGGGGAGGATCTGGCGATAGTAGGGAACCTGAATGAAGGAAGCTACGATAACCGGACGAAGCTACGATAACAAAATCAATTAAACGTAAACCATTTCCAGCCATCGCATGGGCATAAACGCGTCTACATTTGTCAGTAATGACAACTTGACAAGCCAGAGCAGAAGCAGTATCTGCCAGGTAAATTCACACGTGTTATCAATGTACCGTGGCGGCAAAAACTTGAGTACTGAACTTAGAAAAATTGCTTCTTCAGGTGGAATCTGGGGTTTAGTTCACCCAAAACACAAACTTGTTTCCCGTGTTTGCAATCACATTTCTTGGTCCGACGTCGACCAGCCACCTCCGGCCCCAGCCATCAGGACTCTGTTATAAAATATATATTATATATACCATATTATATAATACTATATATCTGTTCATTTCAGCCCTCCATGACATACTGAGTGATCCAACGACGTTGGTCACGACGTTCCAAAACGACGGCCGCTTCTCAACGACGGCCCTGACACCGGGTCGTGACACGGTCGGAGATCCGAACGGTCCGAGGCACCAGCGCTTCACCAATCATGTCTCCGCTGAGGATCAAGGTTTGCAAGACCTTCAAAATGGTGCAAATGATCGCAGGATCCTGGGCACCACGATCGATGGGGAAGGACCTTAAGGATGCCCATGCCCATAGAGTTGCAGTTGACCTGCCTTCCAACAGTCCAAGGAGTCGCATGAGTGGCCCTTTAGTGTTGGAGGGTACCAACTCGGCCCATGATTGTTTCGTTTTTTCCAAATGACATGGTGCTCTCTGCTCTAGGTATCCAATCCGCAATTTGCGGACAGTATAGCTTTCTAGATACGCCTCCTTCATGCACACAATGTAGTACTAGTACCACTTGTTAAATCCTTTTCAAGCGTCTCGGTTTCGTCACCCTTTTGCTTTCCCAACCCTCGCGGCTCCTTGGTGTTGAATCCCACCTTCATGGGGATAATCAACTGTGGCACCACGGGCAAGATCTTCGGGCCCCCTCGTGCCAACATGTCATAGGTGCCCGTCACCGCGAGGAAACGATAGGGATCCTCCTTCTCTCGCAGTCCTTCGAAGAAGATTGGCAGGAAGTGATGGTAGTCCAGCCTGCGTGGCGGGGAACGGTCTCCCTCGGTCTAGCCGAAGGGATGGGCTGTTCCACGGGAGCTGCTCCGGAACCATGCACAGGTCTCATTTTATACTCGGTTTTATCTCGTTTTACGTCAGATTTGGCCCCCAAGACATGTAACCAAAAGCCATCAGTCTGATCGCCACAAGACCTCTTCCTGCTCTGGATCAAAATCATCAAGAACAAAAAAATAAACAAACACTCGTTCAGCATCAGGCTACAAAAAGAACTGCGGTGGGCAATTGAATTTCTCAGTTCGTTTCTGAACCATACAGACGAGCCCAGCCCAACTCATGTCAGTCGGACGTGACCAAATTACCGTCGGCTGATCAGCCCGGAAACGCCCCAAAAAATGTTGGCCGAAACCAACAGGCCAAGTTGCCAGCTGTGTTTCCTCAAAAAAAGCTGTGTCTATTCACCTGCATGGTGTCTTTTTCCAGCAGAAAAGGGTGGTTTTTCCTCGAAGAGCCCTCCTGTCACGACCTCACAACACACCTCACCTGGAAGAGGTCGGGAAGACCGAAATACGAAATCTGAAAAGACCCGGACCTGGCTGGGAAAACGGGAAAAAAAGAACCTCCTGAACGAAAGCCACGCGGTGTTTGCCTAAGAATGCAGCGGAAAAGGCAGAAAAAATCTAAGAAACAACGGTTTCTCGCCTGTCCAAGTCCACCTTCCAGGTGATCTTCCCTCCCACCGAGCCATGTAAAATGCAGCACGGCAGGTCGCCACGATCGTAGAAGTTGCGGAACTGCGATGAAGGAACCACCTGACCAGCATCTGGTGGAACCCTTTCCACAGGTTTCAAAACCCTGAAGTGAGTTGCCGAAGGTTTCGCTGATGGGTTGCAATGAGTAGGAACATCATAAGAACATCAGCTGAGTTTTAAAATGTCACTTGGAGCTGAACAGGAACCACCCGCCCTCTCGGATGTCTCTTCCTCATTCAATTTCGTTTTGGTCTGCAGGATCCAGTCACTTCACCCTCATTCCGACCAGCGAGGGTCGACCCCTCTTCTCCCGACCAGCCAGCAGCCACCTGGCGCTTGCGCGCTCCAGCGTGCGGTGGGCCGTCGGGCGGCAAGTGAGGGTTCCAACTGAAGCCCTGGACCGGTCGCGTCGTCATGGTGAACGTGGGCGCCGACTGGATGCGCGGGAGCAGTGCAGTCCTGGCGGCGGCGACCGGCAGACGGCCTCAGGGACCAAGCCTAGAGATTAACACACCATACCCCTTCCAATTCAGTGGGTGGGTACCCTCTCTGATTTTGTAGAGGAAACTCGCAGGGGTAATTAGAAAATACACACCCATCTTGAAACGGTTTGCCGAGATCCCAAATCGACTGACTTGGGAGAGCTGGCATTTCTTCTCTATACCAGCCCGGCTGTGGGAGGCTCCAGCATCGACAATCACGCCTCTCCCTGTCGATGTCGAAAGATGATGAGGACATGCTCGTTGGATTCTTCTCGGGTCGCTATTGCTGGGGGTCGCGTCACCCGTCAATGCCTCCCAATGAACAAGACACCCCTGGGCCCTGGGTTCATTGACTGGCTACTGCCAGACGGGAGCAGTGGCATGACAGGTACAATCGAGTCCAACACAACCAACTTAACCTCAGCGGGCTGGTGTGAAATCGAGGGATCCACTTGCTATCCATTTGCTAGGGTTACTTCCCGAGTTCTCTGAGACAAAGTGAACGCTCACCTCTCCTGGCTCGCTGTGCATCGCGGAGCTTTTGCTTCACACCTTCGGGGAGGTAGTCATCGGGGAAGTCGCCGAAGCAAGAGTGACTGCCCATGGGAATCATGCCTGGCCGAACTCGGCGCGGTCAGCGTCACGAGAAGCGCCGAAGTGGTTTAACCTGGAAGCTTCGCGGCTGAAGCTTCGCCCAGCTGAGTTGAATGGTGGGAAAGCTTCCAAAAAACCCAAGGCTAAGAATCCTTTGATAGAGGAAACGCATGGCCGAAAGGTGTACTAGCTGGAACTGAACATGCAACCTGCCTTTGACCACCGAAAAAGCCAATAGAGAAGCATGAGACGCAAACAAACAACAAAACATGCTGCAGAAACCGGATGTTGGACCCACGAGCATTGAATTGTTCACCACTCCTTTTTCGTCGAGTTCTGGCTATTTCTGTAAACATCCTCCTTTTGATCCCCTTCCTTTCGGGAGCACGGCATAAGTATACCGTGTCTAGGTGGGCGACTTGATGAAACGGACATGTCATTCATCCCCCTGTGACACGTCATGAAACGACTCTCCCACCCGAGATCCGACCGAAGTCCCACGAAACGGATCCGCCGGAGGCTCCGGAGGTCCGCCTTTGGACTTTTCATATTTGGCACCAGCGCGTCCATCTTTGCGAACCATGGCCCTCGGAGCGTCGGATCAATTCGGCCGGCCACTCCGCGGGGCGAAGCGGGCGCGACGCGGGCAAAAACTCAGCCGAGTTTCTGTAAGGCATCTTCAATCCTCAGGGGACATGAATGTATAGTGCATTTACACTAACGAAGCTGCAATGCAAATCTGCGTCTACTCAGCTAAGCTACAGGAAATCAACACATCCTTTATTTGCAATATATATATATATATAATATATATACATACAAAAGAATGAGCCTTTGGACACACAAAAGCCAATGTCAGCTAGGTTCGGCATTGGCCTCGTATTGACCTGGTTCCTTGACATCACTTCCTTACGCTTCCTCGACCGCCAAGGGTCATCAGAGTGGCCGCTGGACCCGGCATGGTGGCAGTGCAGGTGACTGTGAAACGGACAAGACAACCTGCCTGCACAGGGGCCTAGCTAAATCTGCAGGCTTTTTTGGCCGTTTGGCTGCGGAAAAAGGATGAAGACACAAGACCGCAAGACTCTTCCTCGACCTATTTGGGTCACTCTGCTGTATGTCGAATGCTTCAGAATAAGCAATCTCTAGAAAGATATTATACACGGCCTGTTTGGAGATCATATCCACTCTGTGGTGTGTAGAAAGCTTGGGCAGCACAAAAAAACACGTTGCGTTGCATCTTTCTGCCCACCTCCTTCGGGTCCACTAATATGGGCTTCTCTCCTCCACACTGTGTGAGTCTGGATCCCAGGCGGCATAACGACTCGGTCGATGTCCTAAAGACTGGGTGAAGTTTAGATGGTGCACACACGTTTAGAGCGGTTCGTGAGGGATTGGGCGCCAAAGACCCCTCCATGGTTTCACTGGAATGAAGAGACCTCGGACCTAGTCTTCTTGAAGCAATGGGGGTTCAGACACAAAAAACGAAGTGAGCCCAAACTTACATTTGCTCTTCGTGCGGCTGCTTTCACCACTCCAAAGAATGTCCGGACCAAAATGACAAATCCACAAGCACAAAACCACCGACCCAACTGCCACACTTGTAATCGCAACCGCTAGTTATAAGCACAACGATGGTAGCCACAGCAGCGTCAAATTAACCACAGCTGCACTATTACAGGAAGCACAACCATCCCCATCCTTGTTCCACCTGAACACCAACGAAAGCAGGTGATCCAAACCGAAATTGCCACCAAAAACGCCAAGTAACGCGCCTGGCGGTGGATCTTTCAAGAGCCACAACTGGCAAGAAGGTGCGGCAGGATCTCCCAATGGCGGAAGACCCAGGACCGTCGGGTTTGTTATCCCTGGATTGCTTTAACATGCTTTCACACGGGTGTTTTAACATCCAGTTTGGATCAGGTCATGCCCGGTCTGAATTCATCTACAGTCCAAGCGGTTTTTGAGTTCACAGCTTGGACCCGATCTTTGAGGGGTGGGCTGCCCCCACGCGCAGGCGAGGAGAGGAACCGTCCATTTGACCGGAGAGGAACGAATCCTGCTGGGCGCCCTGAAAACAAGGTGAGGTAGGAGATATACATCGTCTCTTGGGTTTCGGTCACCTCCAAAACTATGGTTTCGGTTCTCTACATGTTCCCTTAAACCAATCCTGAAAATTTTCTGGGATCTATCGAAAGCGCAGCCATGCGGTTCTGGCTACGAAAAAGTGCTGCAACAGAGTTGTCGGGTAGTCGGACACACTGGCTCATGCTGCCATTCACGTGGTGGATAGGCTCGTGCGTTCTCGCTTTCGGTGCCTCGACCAAGCATCGACCCAACGCATCGACCCACTCTGGGTCGCCCACTTGACTTGCTGAGCGCTTGTCCAGGACTCCTTTGACTTTGACTACTAAGCTACTCTTCGAATTCAGTCTCTCCAACTGACTCGGTCCACACCCCTTCGAAACCTGCAAGGCATGTTGATCCTTGGAGGGCTCGAAACCTTGGGCAGGCTGCTCGCGTTGCGATAGATTGTGTGTCGTCCAGTGTATATAGTAGCTTCTTGTTACTAGTAAGGATGCATTTGTTACTAGTAGCGATGCATTTGTTACTAGTAGTAATGCACTTGTTACTAATAGGGATGCACTTGTTACTGGATAGGAAATTGTGTTTGCTCTTCCGCTGCAATACTACAGGCCCATGTATGTTACCAATGCCATATGAGCGCTGGGCAAAATCTGGTATCTAGCCTAAGCACATTGCCTAGAATGGGTCGGCCCCCATTGGCTATGCAGCTTTGATGCAGGTGTCCAATATCCCAAGACCACGCCACTTGACTACTTTAGTATGAGTATGTGAACTGGCTTGTCTTGGCCCATGCCGCGCCGCAGTATACCCTGGGATTCCAACCACCATTCATTGACTACGTAAGATTTGCCGAACAACCCTTGTTTTACTAAGGATCACACAAAACCAGGTCAGCCACTTTTCTGGCAAGTCCAAGTCTAGGGTATAACCAGGTACTGTCTTGGGGCCATACAGGGACTGTCTCCGACGGCTTCGCTGCTTCGCCGGGGAGCTGTAGTCATAAATGTCGTGTCGGAAAACTAAAGTCATGCCATCCTGGCGGGAAAAACTGCAGCGGAAAGCTGGAGCGGAATGAGCTCCGGCAAGAGTGTTTTTTTTCGGGTACTTCCTCTCATTCCAACTTCAGTGTCAAACTGAAGAAACGGCAAAAAGAAACAAGTCACTTAAACAAAAATAACAAAAAAACAAACAAAACAAAACAAAAAAAAAACACAGGCGTCAGGTGTCGATCCTTCTGAGATGCCTGGCAAACTGTCCCCCAAGGATATCCAAGGTTAAAATGTTGAATGGGTGTGTTTCGAATCCCCTTTCTTTTTGCTTCAAGACAGACCAGACCACAGAAGTGTTCCATGTCGCGGTTCACCACTCCACCACTCAACCCCCCCTCCCCCCGTCCTCACATTGGACTGGAGTGTCAAGACCGGCACGATGCAAAATCAGAGTTCCATGCTCCGCGCCCCCCCACGATGTGCAGGATGCAGACCTGTGTGCACACGAGGTCTGCATCCCATCTCCACGAGGTCTGCAGCGACCGATCAGAAGGGGGGAAGGGCTGGTGCACGCCGCGCGTACGCACGCGCCAGGTAGGGACGTCCCGAAACGCATCAGCACGCGTTGATCAAAAACCTGCCTGTTTCACAGCAGCCCCAAATCCGCCCGATCTTCACCGGGATTCTCCCGTCTTCCGTGCACCACGGGTTCCGGCCTTCCGCTGCTCCCGGAAGAGGAGTCGATCCTGGAGGACACGGGCCTCGACTTTGATGCCTTGGGCAGGTAAGGCCTGACCGGGCGGGGCCGGATTTGGTGTGGAGGGCGAGACGAGTGGAGACAGGTGGAACAGAGTGGTTTTTCCATTTCGGCAGGCTGTGTTCAAAACTGACGAAGTGTCCACTGTTTACATACTCAGACTCACAGATAAGCCGCAAAAATACAGTAAGCCGCTAAGCCTATCTGTACACTTCTGCTGTGGAGGGCGAAAAAACAAAAGAATCATGCCAGGGGATCGAGCTGCTTCTTGTCCTCCTCCGTGCTTGCAGTATGTGCCATCACTCTGGTCCTCAAAAACACATGGCAGGTACAAGTCATGGGGCCATGCAGCCGAACCCTGTCTGCCATGTGAGCAAAGGCATCCCAAAAAACGACATGGTGCAGATTCGAGGCACTTGAAGATCTGGAAGGTAGAGTTTGCAGTCCATCATCGGCGTCCATCTGCAGTCCAACCATGTGATCCACAACCCTAAACCCAACCCTTCCCATGCATCCCAACAAGCGCTCGTTACCCGCAGCTTTGTTCAGATCAGGACTGACCCGCAGCTTTCGTTCTTCCCTCCTTTTTTCCAAGTGTGGAAGTCTTTGACCTGACGAAAGCTGCCCTCTTCTCCACTACTTCCCCACTGACAGATGAGCATTTGCTCCGTCTCACAGTCTGTCCTTCCACTAGAAGGAAGCCCCAGACTGGGCGTCACCCCTGCAACCACTTCGGCAAGGTCAATTAATTCCTGCCGCGGAAAACTGTCATATTGGGTGCGGACAGGGGTGAATGTGGGCCATGGAGAACATCAAGAACAGTACACAACCTATTTTGGCTTGGTTGCGTGAAAAGCACTTGGTTTCCTACTTCCTGCCAGATCTACAAACAAAGTGCGAAAAAAAAATAGCAGTTCCGAGCTATTTCAGTGAATCACCATCCCGGTTAAGGTCTTTTTGGTGTTTACAGGACGTTCTTCCCCGACCAAACTTCAACCTTCTGGGGCAATGATTTGAGCAAATCGACTCATCAACGTGAGAAATTCAGTTACCAGTTACGGTACGTGAGAAAAGGAAATGACGACAAAGTATACACAAACATCATTGAAATTGAAATGTGATGAAATGTGAACCTAGGAACAAGAAGCTACTAGGGGCTCCTGGCCTTACTACTAGGAACCCAGTTCTCCTTGCAAATCGCGGCGAGGTGATCTTCTGCATCATCCAGCCACGAGACCTCGCCGCGGTCGCCCGGTGTCAGAAACGGTGTCAGACTGGGCTATGCCGCGATCGGTCAGAGACGTACACATTGGATATATCCCAGACACCCTGGGCCCAGTGGATGATGATGTTTCAGTTGCAGGCCTTGTCCAAAAATAGTGATGTTCTGATGTTCTTGTTTACCCACTGTTACAGGTCAGTTCGGACACCCCCAAAGCAAACAGATCGAACCTTGAACCGCACCTTTGAAGGCGATAAACCTTTCAGATCAATGTCAGTGACAGGACGGTATGTCTTCAACAGGGCCGCGGTTCGTTTTCTGCCCACAAACAACCCGTTCCAACACCTGAATTCAGGATTCACGGCGCCTTGTTCTGCGAGAAGCTACGGCCCATGGTGTCATTCTCGAACTCGGGAAATTCGGGCTGCCATCCTGAGCCGGGACATCGCGACGTCACCCGAAACCTCGCCTCACGAGCTCTGCCTCGCCCCTCGCCTGACGAGCTCTGCCTCGCCGCGCGAGCTCCGCGCGAGCTCCGCTGAGCTTGGGGCGTTCCCTGCCTTGCAACGCCTCCAGGACCGACCTCAAGGACCCCCGACCGCGGCCTCCACGGGCTCCGCCATGGGGTCGAACGCCGGGGTCCGGAGGTCCCGGGTCCGGGGGTCGGGAACCCAGAACGTGAACCGCCACGTCGGATCCCACGTGGTTTGGAAGAAAGGAACGGCGTCGGATCCACCCATGGGTTTTGGAGGTGAGAACCATGATTTCGCGTCACATGTGTCCTTTGGCCCATGCATGGTAAAACAAAACCTCTGGAGGTCACTCCACAAGCCAGGGGAACCCTTCACAGCGACTCGCCAAACCATCAAGGCCGATTGAAACGGAATGTGACTGGCACAAATTGTTTGAAGTTCTTGGCAGAAATCTCAAGTGCTGGTTCCTTTTATTCATGATGTTCTTCAGGCAAACCCCGAAAAATTGACATCAAGGAATCTCAGCACTCAAATCCATGTGTCTTTCCGTTACACCCTGTCGGCTTCAAGGCAGCCACACACGAGGCATCAGCGGATACTATGTCACTCTTCATGTG